TATGTCTACACTATCCCCCTAGTTCAACCTAGGGAGGCTAATGTAGGCATTCGAAGTTGCAAATGAAGCGCGGGATTTAAATATCCCGGGCTTCATTTGCATATTGCTGGGCGCCACCATTTTTAAATTCCAGGTAGTTCGGACTCGAGGAGTAACGGTAGTTTGAATTAGAAAGCCTAATTCGAACTACCTACTCCATGCTGCGTGTAGCCGCGGGCACAGAGTCTGAACTACTGGGAATTTAAAAATGGTGGCGCCCGGCAAGATGCAAATGAAGCCCGGGAAATTCAAATCCTGAGCTTCATTTGCAACTTCGATTGACTACATTAACCACCCTAGTTCGAACTAGGGTGGTAGTATAGACATACCCAGAGAGATTAATAGAATCATAGAACACTAGAACTGGAAGGAGCCTTGAGAGGTCATCGAGTCCAGTCCCCTGCCCTCATGGCAGGACCAAGCACCATCTAGACCATCTCTTACAGACATTTATCTAACTTGCTCTTAAATATCTCCAGGGATGGAGATTCCACAACCTCCCTGGGCAATTTATTCCAGTGTTTAACCACCCTGGGTATGTCTACACTACAGTGTTATTTCGAATTATGCAGGCATCCGGGAGGTCCATCAAGGAGCTGTCAGGATCCGGGAGGCCCTGGTGGAGAGCGTCCACACCAAGGAGAACCGAGAGCCTCCCTGGTCTGCTCCACTGGGGGCTTTAGCCTCATTCCTCCCTCACATCCTTCCATGTACCCCTCCCTAGCCCCCCTTCCTGATGTCAAATAAAATACACTTCTTTCCAAAAACATAAACTCTGTTTATTTAACAAAACTGGGGGTGGGGGGAGGGATGAACCTCTGGGGAGACCAGGGAAGGGTGGTGGGAGAGGGGAGGGGGAAACCTGGGAGGAGGGAGCTGGAAGGGGGAAGCCAGGGGAAGAAAGGGGAGGGGAAGCTCAGGGCTCAGAGTTGGGGGGGGTCTCGCCGGACCAACTTGATTGTCATGCAAACCTGCTCCTGAGTTCGCATGTGGCCTTTGGTGGCCAGGCTGGCAGCTATCCTGCCCTAGGTGGCTGTGTTCCTCTGACTAGTGTGGAGATCGTGGACATTGTTGTACATATTTGGCTCTTCCCATACTGGGTCAGACCACAAGTCCATCTAGCCCAGTATACCAGATGCCCCAGAGGGAGGGAACACAGGTAATCCTTACGTGATCCCTCCCCTGTCACCCACTTCCAGAGAAACAGAGGCTAGGGACACCATTCCTACCCATCCTGGCTAATAGCCATCAATGGACCTAACCTTCATGAATCTATCTAGCTTTTTTTTGAATCTTGTCAAAGTTCTAGCCTTCACCACATCCTCTGGCAAGGAGTTCCACAGGTAGACTGTGCACTGCATGAAGAAAACTTCCTTCTGTTTGTTTTAAACCTGCTGCCTATTAATTTCATTTGGTGACCCCTAGTTCTTATATTGTGGAAATATGTAAATAACTTTTCCTTATTCACCTTTCCACACCAGTCATGATGTTATTGTCTGTCTTATTCCCTATCCCTTTTTAAATGATTCCTAACATTCTATTTGCTTTTTTCACTGCTGCTGTACACTGAGTGGATGTTTTCAGAGAACTATTCACAGTGACTCCAAGTTTCATCCTTGTCCACGTGCTTGTTAACACCCTCTGAGAATGCTATTTGATTGTTAAGGTATGATAGCCCTTTACAAAAGCTATATTGACTCTACCCTTACATATCATGTTCATCTATGTGTCTGATAACTTTATTTTTTACTATAGTTTCAACCAATGTGCCTGGTACTGAAGTTAATAGTATTTGCCTACAAATTCCAGGATTGCCTCTGAAACCTCCTTTAAAAGTTGATGTCACATTAGCTATCCTCCAATCATCTGCTACAGAGGCTGCTTTAAGCAAAGGCTTACATACCATAGTTAGTAACATAAGACAAGTCATAGTGGATTAGACCAAAGATCCATCAAATCCAGCATTCTGTCTTCCAACAATGGCAAGTGTGAAATGCTTCAGAGAGAAAAGTGATCAAGTGCTCCATCCCCTGTCTGCCAGTTTCCAGCTTTCAGTAGTTCTACAATTTAACCTGTGAATTCCTTCAGAACTCTTGGGTGAGTAATATCTGTTCCTCATGATTTCTTGTGTAACCCTCTTTTTCCTCCCCAGGTTACTCGGGAGCAGGTCACACACACAGGTGCGCCTGGGAACCTGATGGTTTTAACATAAAAGGAGATCCTGAGTACCCCAGTGGTGATGTTGTTTAGTTGGGGAAACCCTATCCACCCCCTTGCTGCTGTCCCTTGCTCATAAAGAACATATAATGGTGATGCCTCCACCTGGCTGGCCCTGTATACACTTAATGGTGTGCCTTGGGAGCCTCCAGGAATAAAATTATTCCAGCAATAATCTGGATCATCTAGCTCCAGAACAACAATTACAAATCATACATAGTATACATCTGATAGATACAGTAGAAAGAACAGCCTTTACTTAACAACTTAAAGAAACAGAATTTAACAGAGTAACAGTGAATAACACTGACAAAGTACACAGAAAGATTTGGAACATATCTATCTGGCATTTGCACTGCCACTGTTTATCCTCTCTAGAGGGATGTAAAATTTAATTGTTGCTATTACAGGTTGAACCACTCTAATCCGGCATCCTCGGGACCTGACCCGAGCTGAATTTGCTGAAGCACAGGAGTTCAGTATTCTCTAGCAGCATTACCAACACTTCCATTGCTTATTGGGCTCTTAGAAGATATTTAGGGATAAATTAGAGCTAAATAACAGCACAGAACATAGCAAATATTATATTATTTCATAAAAAGGTTATAAAACTTTACTACTACTATTTGGTGCTCCCAGATCTGTAGATAAGTATGCTATGTTATTAATTATTATACCCAAACTTTTGAAAGATATGCAGAATATAGCTGAAATATATCAGAAGATAAATCAATTCATCCCAGCACTAGGAACAGTAAGTGAGGGAAAATGGATGACTACTATGAGAGTTTTGCCTGAACATATAATGCAGAATTGGGCACTTAACTGTGTCAATATCTTATTGCCTTTTGGTGACACAGTATAAGTAGTGGAAGTAAATATGCGTCTTTATTTATTCCTGGGAGTT